ACTCTGTAGAGGAGAAGAAGGAGTGCCTTATTTGTACAAATAGTACAGGAGGACACCAGCCCCCAACAGGTATCAGCCCAGGAGTCACACCTGTCCTTCTGTCATGTTTGTGGTAGAGGCCTTTACTTTGCAGCCTTCATGGGGAGTCAGTGCATGTATATAACACATCTTACTCCTTTTTACTTTCTTCATTTGCTTTTCTTAGGAATATTTGCAGTACATAATGACTGTGTTCACCATAGGGAGTCAGTGCATGTATATAACACGTCTTACTCCTTTTTATAGCTGCCTTCCCCTCCTTCCCTCTTTTCATTTTCTTAATTTGAGATGTTAATTCAATTACAAAACCACCAAAAAGCAGGAGTGCTTTTTATCTCACCATATGATCAGTAGTTTCAGTTAGATTTTTGACCATAATTTCATAGGTGGAATTGATGCTCCATGTTAGTGTTGACTTAAAAACTTTCCATATTTCAAAGCTTCTATAGTAAGTAAGAAAGTACTTTTTCTTTGTAGGTAATAATCTAGGAGAGGGTTAGTTTATAAAGACAGAGGAAGAACTACTTTATTTGAGAAATGTGGGTGAATTCATGAGCTGAGTGCTGCCTACATTCATGATAGTGGACTAGAACCCATGGAAATTTTTTTAAAAAGACTCCCAGGAAATAAATACCCTAAATGTTGAATAGTGGTATGGACTTGCGGTATGCTCTATATCACAGAACCACATGAATCATAATTTAATTTAGGAGCAAAGACTTCACTAGTGATTTTTTAAGGCAGCTGTGAAACTTCCAGGTGATAAATCAGTTCAAAGTGCTTTGATGTACCTCAGAAAAATATTGGAGGCCAAGAACTGAGGACAGGGAACACAGAGGTCCTCTTTGGGGTGTCTTTCTATCATGGGAGAGGAGAATGAGCCTACAGAATAGTTAGAATAGGATGAGATTCCAGAGAGCACTTCTTATTTTCAAAAATAACCTCATGTACATTGGATGTGACTGGAATGAGCTAATCCTATCAGAAAGCATGATTTGGAAGATAGACGGGAAAATTTTAGAGCTCTACAAAGTAGTTAAATAGGGCGATGCACTAATGGGAGTGTTGGTTTGATTCAGAGCACATACAACTCAACAGATTTCTCTCAAGAAAATATAGCAAGTAAATTGTCTTGGAAGCAAAAGTAATTTAAAGTTATCAATAGTGTAACCTTCTGAAGAACATCACCACACACCAAATGTTAGGACAAAGAAGTTCTTTCAAGCATTTGGAGAGTTGGTTTCACGATTCAAGGACAACTTAGAAAATATAGATAAGGCATCTACTGTACATCATTTCAAAAAGCCAGCCCAATATAGATGCAAAATGTAGACAAATTTGGTACATGCAAAGGATATCCCTAGCAGAATATCAGAAATAGAAGTGCAACAGGGGATACAAGAGTACAGTGTATTTGGATAAGTTCAGTTTTACCAAAATGTACAATACGTGTCCTATTTCTTCATAATCACAACATTCACTCAGTTACATCAGGATTTTCTGATGTCATTATCTTACCCAAGTATCTCATCTCTCTATAATTCAAATACTTTAACATAATCTCATCCTATTTCCTAAAATATATAATTCATAGCATTTCTCATTAGTTTAAGGCCATAATTGTCTCATTACTTTAGGTTGGGATACTTGGAACTAACACTCTCAGATAGAGATTGGAAGTGAAATCAGGGTGTGTACCTGTGGTGATGCAATGACAACCAGAAACACCAAAATGACACGCAGGATTTGGAGGCAGATTTATTTACATTGATGGGCACTGATCAGGATCACTCCCAAAATATCAGCCCTGATCTCCGGTGGTCTAGGACTTATATGGGATAATCAAGCAAGAAGTACAGAAGCAGAATGGCTTGTCAATTGGGGATTGGTTTATACAATGTGCATCATAGCGACCAGCTGTTTCTAAGAGACAGGAGTAACCAGAACTGCAACAGAAACTATTACCTGGACAACTAACAGACTGAAGTATAGTGGCTGGAGGAGAGAAGCATTTTCTGCTACAGTAAAACTCTAAGAAAGACAAGAGAAGGAAACTTGATGAGGCAGAGGGATAAAGTGAGCTGTAACCTCCTCCTAAACAGTGTCTTGTGATCCACCAGGGACTTATGGAGATGGAGATGCATCTTTAAAATTATCCAAAATTGCAAGGAGTGAGCCAGGTCTTGAGACTGTGTAGTTTAGTCATTGGTGCCATCCTGGGAAGGGTAAATAACCTTTACCTCAGTGAATCTTTTCTATTGAGCAATCCCAGAAGAGATGCAAGAAGTGAGAGGGATGGGATGTTTACCAGGAGTACTCCCAGTAACTGGGGTGAGAATTCCATCCTTCCTGAAAGGAAGTACAGTGTCATATCCCAATATACACTGCATTTCTCTTTTTTGTGCACTGTCTGTTTTTCCTCTCATGGATGAATGCTCTGCATACAAAAATTTCCATCATTTTTGAAGAGTTTTATTATTGACATGCTTAGGACATGGCAATAGTGTGATTCATTCCATTTTTGCTAGATAAATATATAAATATATGCGTGCATAAATGTGCATATTGGGTATCTCCTATGTGATTCAGCTAGTTTGTAAAGTAGAAAATACTACTGTATATTTTATCAATAGATGGATAGAAAATATATGAAAAAAGTAATACTCCTTCATGATAATAAAAAAGAGAAAATTAAAGAAACTACTTTAAATCAGTACAGGACATATTAAAAATAAAGTCAATGAAATATTTAATGGTTAAATATTCAATGCATCCTCTTTGAAATCAAGAACATATAATATAAACAGCTATTATCATTACATATTCACACTACAGAGGGTTGGAGTTGAGCTATAATAAAGAAATGAATGTATCAAGGTGTGTAATTAGTATGTTTGTATATAAAATGGCAAGGAGTTCACAAATGCTTTCTTAGAAAACAAAAGAATAGGACAAAGTTTCTTATAAACTAAAAATACAGTTACCACATGATCCAGAAATCTCACTACTGGGTATACATCCAAAGGAAAGAAAACCGTTGTATAAAAGAAATATCGGCACCAAGTTTACTGAAGCACTATCTATAATATCCAGAATATGGAATCAGTGAAGGTATTCACTGACCGAAGAATGAATAAAGAAACTGTGGTTTATATGCACTATGAAAAATTATTCAATCATTCAGTACAAAATGCTGTTTTGTGTATGAAAGTGAAAGAATTTAGGCACAGAAAGACAAATACCACCTACCCTCACTCACATGCTGTGGAAGCTAAAAAAATTTGATCTCATAAAAGTAGATAATATAAGTCAAAGCTGATAGGAAAAATGAAGAAGAAAAGACATTGATTTCTACAGAAGCTACAAGATAGAAAGTTAGGGTAAGTTTTGTCTACAACAGTTTATTATATATTTCAAAATAATTAGAGGAAAATGGTTCAAAGATTAACAATGCACAGAAGTGATAAATGTTTGAGGAAATAATGTTTACAACCCTGATTTGATCGTTAGTCATATTTTATACTATTAAGAAATACATACAAATGTTACATGTCAATTATAAAACATCTTATGAATGGCAACTTGGGAAGATTATCTCTGCATTAAGAAGAGATCAAAAGTAGATAGTTTTATGAATCCTATCGTATCAGATATATCTCTGGGATGACAAACTTTCCAACTTACAATACATAAAAACTTATAAAAACTGATTAATTGTGATGTAGGTGGGTTACTGGATTGCAGTTACTTAGAAGGAAAAGAAAATTCTCCCTGTCATATGCACATACACACACACACACACACACACACACACACACACATACACACACGGTCACTTTATCTTTAAATATTTATATTACTTGAGTTTATTTATTCAATAGTTTAGGTATTTATTTTAGAAACATTTACAGTATTTCCCTTCAGGATTGATTTGGCACATGCCTTTTGAGAGATGAAGAATGAACAAATATTTCCCACTAAGTCATTAGCTTTGTGTTTCCAGGTATGATACCAAAATATGACACCTAAAATTCATTCAGGTATCTCCGGGCAAAAGGATAAATTGCATAAGAAAGAAACTCATCCATGGAAACTGAATGAATCCCAGCAGATTCTGCCTGGGTGCACATTTGAATTCTCGTTTACTCAACATGATTATCTGAATTGTTTGACCAACCTTAGGGTCTTTATTTTTTCTTGTTTGGACTAAACTGATTCTCACAGGCATAACTAAAACGTTTCATATATATATCAAATGGGACAAAAGATTTTAAACTAGTTTCATCAATAAGGAAGCCAAAATTAGTAGGTGCTGTTGGTGCTATGCAAGCCACATATTTGTTGATGGCTGTGCATATTCATTAATGAATTTTAAAATCTCGGAATCATCTCAAACCATTGAAATCATCAAAATGATGCAAATTTTACAGAGTGGCAAAACAGAGTATGACAAGTGTTGTTACACCTGAGAAAGATACATTCTGCTCTGTAATTACTTCCCACGATACAAATGTCACCTCCTTTCCCTCAGAACAGGATTTGCAGTAGCATTCATTTCACAGGAACCTAACTAAATGACCCAGAGGAAGCAATTCTCTAGATACAATCACAGCCTGACTTAAATCCTGTGCAGTTTACCTTGTCCAACTTGCCTTTTCATAAAGCGCATGGCAAAAACTTATTTTGCTAAAACTAGGTACAATGCTTTAGGCTTTTCTTCCATGGAAATTGAACCTAGAGAATTGTGTTTTCATGGAACTTCTCTTCAGAGACTTGAAATTATGTATCAAACATAACATACAGCATAGTCAAGATTCAAGGCAAGTTTAAATGCACGTGGTCATTATGTCATCTCAGCATTTTAAATCAATGTAGTGACAAAAAGTCATGCATTTCCGAATCACCAGGAATCTTGTCATTGTGACTTACCGAAGAAATCAAATTTCAATGCAATTGACACATCATAGAAAAGAAGCTGTCCTGCCAAGGAGTTTTCTCAAGGCTTCCTTCATGTCCCTGTTCCTCAGGCTGTAGATAAAGGGATTCAGCATCTGAGTAACAACAGAATACATCACTGAAGCCACTGCAGTCTTTCTGGTTGAGTCAGTAACGGCAGCACTGATGTACACCCCAAATCCTGTCCCATAGAACAAGGACACAACAGACAGGTGTGACCCACAGGTGGAAAAGGCTTTGTGCCTTCCTTCTGATGATGGCATCCTCAAAATAGAGGACACAATACGAATGTAGGAGAAAATAATCCCAAAGACAGGAACACCAGCAAATACAGTAACCACAAAATATACCAGGATATTATTGATCAGGGTATCAGAACAGGCGAGCTTGATGAGTGGAGCAAGTTCACAGAAGAAATGGGGAATTTCTAGGTCTTCACAGAAAGACAGACATAGCAACATCAGAGTATGGACCAGGGCATCCACAATACTAATGAACACAGAGCCCAGAACCAGCAGGACACAGAGGCAAGGGCTCATGATGACCCTGTACCTCAGTGGATGACAAATGGCCACAAAGCGGTCATAAGCCATTACTGCAAGAAGAAAATTTTCCAAGACAGTACAAAGCAAGACAAAATAGACCTGACTGAGGCATTCAGTGTAAGTGATGCTCTGATCCTGAGCTTGAATATTCACCAGCATCTTTGGGATTATGGTGGTGCTTAAACAGATGTCAGTGAAGGACAGGTTGGAGAAGAAGAAGTACATGGGTGTATGGAGGCGGAAATCAGAACTGACGGCCAGGATGATGAGCAGGTTTCCTAAGATGGTGACCAAGTACATGGCCAGAAACAGGTTGAAGATGAGAGACTGAAGCTGTGGGTCGTCTGTCAGTCCCAGAAGAAGGAATTCTGAAATGATTGTTTGGTTTGTAGCTTCCATGTTACTGATGAATTTCAGAGGAAGTGGATAAAAAGAATGAAATGAATGGACCACAAGCAGCAGTAGCACTCAGGAATGTGTTAGAAAATCTTGCCTGTTTATATTTGGATCTCTGGACTTGTAGCTTTTAGAATAATATAATATATTTCTACTGTTAAGCCTCTGTATCTATGGTACTTAATTATCACTCAGTTTTAACTAATAAACTTATCAGAATCCCTAACACAACCACAAGAATATAGGTAAATGTCAGAATGTTTTAATAATAACCATCATGTTTGAAAAGGGATGTATCCTGCTCTGACAGAAATAAGCCTTGTCCTTTTACAGAGCATGAGACTAATAGAATGAAATACAGGTTAGTATTAATGCAAACTTATATTACAATGTGTCAAGAGGACAAAGGACAGGAGAATCACAGGTGGTTGTGTCTCATTATCAATCTCCCTCCTTGGTTCTTAGCTTTCCTACTGCTTCCCAGGATAAAATTCTACAAGACACAGGCCCTCATCTGCAATGCATTACCGAAGGGACATTGTGTTACCTGGATGGCTTCAAGAGTACTGATGTTCAGCATCTTACTTGGATATTGAAGTTGGAAGATCTCTCCTCAGGAAGGATAGGCAGACCAAGAGGTCTGTCAATGGGATTGACCAATCCCATGTCAATGGGATTGGTCAGAAAGATCATCTAATTGCACAATTTCCCTTATACAAGAAAGCCAAATTCTAAATAAGGTAAAGCCAAAAATAAAAGAAGGCTAATAGAACACAGGGAAATTAGATCTTTTGCAGTCAGTAAGGGAACCTGGGGTGGAGGAAGAGGAGAAGGAGAAGAGTGGAAAGGTGAAGTGAAAAGGAATAAGATATGCAACTATACCAAATGCTCTCAGTGACTTCATTATAAATAAATAAACAAACAAACAAGCAAAATGAATGTTTTTAAAATATAGATAAAAGAATGATTATCTATGAGAGGAAGTTCAGGTGTTATTTCTAGACTGAAGGAGAGTTGTTAAGTGAGGTCACTTGGTGGCACCTCTAGCCCCTATATTCCTAGTGATCAATATCCAGTGCACCTCATTAGAACTGCTATTTTAGTATTACTCTCCTCCCAGGAGTACCTGTCCTTAAAGACTAATGCTACACAAGCGATGGTTTCAGGATGACAGTTTTCTCACCCCTGAATCCAGATGCACAGCATTCACTTCCTCTCTTATTTCTACTCATCTGTTTCATGACTTTGCATCCATATACCCACCAGTTTTAACAAATCCCTTTAAGTTACAGATAAGGAGTGTCTATAGAATTGCTGATGTCTGGAAGGCTGATCCTTAGTTCTGAAAATGAATATTACATATGTGAGTATCAATAACATAACTATAGATATCAACTAAGATATTAAAAGTACAAATATTCAGTGGTGTCTTCTGTATCATTTATGTTTACTGAACCTTAATTTTTGGCTTTTATAATTTGCAAAGAAGATTCCAATCTATTTGTGCATTCAATACTGATTGCCAAAATATGCAAAGAATGACTCCCTATCTAGAATTTCATGAACATTTTTTCTCTATTGTCAGAATTATTCCAAAGTTTTTCTTCACATACTAAGACTGTAAGTTGCAATTAAATATCTTTATTTTTCTTTAAAGTACTTTTGACAAAATCACCAAAAATCAGAGTATGATGTGTCCATATGCTGAGTACCTTTGGTCAGATTGTAACCATCATTTTATGGGTTTAAGTGATGCTTCAGATTAGTGCTCACTTGAAATTAATCTATTATGGAAAAATTCAGCAAGATAACACTCATGAGAGACTGAATGTAGGAGGAAACAGAGCTTTACTGAAACCAGTGACCAACAGTCTCCAACAAAGTGCCAGAGAAAATGTTGACCCCAATCGGGACTTTGTTTCCATCTCAAATACCCTTTTGGTTTCCATAATAACCACATTTCAAGGGTTTCTAATAAAAGGTCACAAGATTTACACTTCTCAAGTGTTGTTAGGCAGGATGCAGTTAATCTTAGCTTACTCACAGTTTGTTTTCTCTATGGGCTCCGTTAGATAAAAGACTTGTTCCTCTCCTTATTGTTTTATGGTTATCTAAAAGTGGGGGAGTGAGGAGTGAGTTCATCTAAAGTTTATTGACCTTTTAAAATGAGTTACAAAAAGAAAATGGAGTCTCTCTTGCCCTATCAAATCTTTTATACTCAAAGACCTCAATATTTTCAAGTTTATCAACATTTTGTATACCAGGACAATTCATTGGGTGGGAATTTACAATTTCCAAGACAGATATTTAAAATATTTAAAATTAAGGTCCAGATGGCATTATAATGTCTTTCTTCATGATTTTAATGTCATTCAATTTTTTAAAAAAACGGGTTTAATTCATGCAATTTAGATGTACATAATGATCATAATCATCATAGAGAATTTGTACCTATGTATAATATATCTTGATTCTTCTTTTTTCTGACCCCATTCCCTCTTTTCAACCCCTCTTCTCCTCTTTATTTGCAAAGCTTTATTTCCATTTCATCCTTTTTTATCATATTTTTCTTTTCCTTACCTTCTTTTCCCCTTGACCCCTCCCTAGTTGAATAAGTTCTTCCTATTTCACAGTAACTATTATACACCTTGTGCCTTATTTACATTTTTCATTTTTCACACCACAGAAAAATGAGATATTTATACATGTGTATCTGATTAATTTCATTTGAGTATGGTATCAAGGTGCATTCATTTACCAAGAAATGTCTCCAGTTTATTCTTCTTTATGGTTCAGTAGTACTCCATTATTTGTTTGTTTGTTTGTTTTGTTTTTTTTCCGGTACCGGGAATCGAACTCACACCGTCACACTTGCCAGGCAGGCGCTGTGCCACTGAGCTAAGTCCCCAGCCCCAGTAGTACTGCATTATACAAAAAAGCCACATATTTTTTTATCCATTCCTCAGTTGATGTTCATTTGGGTTGTTGCCAAGATTTAGCTGGTACAAACTGAGCTGCTATAAACATGGATGTATATATATCACTGTGGTATGATGCTTTTAATTCTTTCAGGAAGATACCCAGAAAAGGAATAGCTGGTCAAGTGAGAACTATAATCCTAGCTTTTTGAGGACTCTCCACACAGATTGGCACAGTGGTTGTACCAGTCTACACTCCCACCAAGAGTGGAAAGGCCTTTTTCTCCAAAGGGAAAACAAGTATTTTTATTGGTTGATTTGTTAATAATAGCTATTCTTTTAGGAGTGAGATGAACTTTCAGGGTTGTTTTAATCTCTCACATGACCAGTGATGTGGAACATTTTTTTCATATATTTATTTGCCATTTGTATTTCTTTTTTGTCCATTCATCAACTGATGGGAATTTGGGTTGATTTAGCTATTTCAAATTGTACCACTAGAAACATGGGTACACATATATTACTGTGGTATGATGTTTTTAATTCTTCTAGGAAGACACCCAGAAGGGGAATAGCTGGGTCAAATTTTTGAGGAAACCACATACTACCTTTTAGAGGAAACCACATACTGATTTCCACAGTGGTTGTACCACTCTGCACTCCCACCAGCAGTGGGTAAGAGTTCCTTTTTCCCCACAGCTCTCACCCCTACCATTTGTTATTGGTTGATTTCTTGATGATAGCTATTCTTTTTGGAGAGACATGGAATATCAATGACATTTTTTTTTTTTTTTTTTTTTTTTTTCTTCTGGTACTGGGAATCGAACTCATGACCTCGTGCTTGCCAGGCAGGAACTGTGCCACTGAGCTAAATCCCCAGCCCCTATCAATGACATTTTAATTTTCATTTCTCAAATTACCAATGATGTGGAATATTTTCATATGTTTATTTGTGATTTATATTTCTTCATCTGAGAAATACGTATTTATCTCAGATGCCCAGTTTTTGATTGGGTCTTTGAATATGGACCATCTGATTTTTTTCAGTTCTTTATATGTGCTAGATATGTCTTTTTTCTGAAGTAAAATTGGCTAAAATTTTTTCACATAGTGTGGGTTGACGTTTCACTCTTTTAGTAATTTCTTTTGACGTGTAAAATCCTGTTAGGAGGATGAGATCCCAGTTGTTGATTTTTTAAAATATTTCCCATTCAGTTTGGGTTTTATTCATGAACTCTCTGCCTACCCTTATGTCTTCAAGATTTGTACCTACTTTCTCTTCGAATAGATTGAGTATTTCTGTTTTTAAATGCAGATGATTGACACATTTGGACTTTAGTGCATGGTGATAGACATAGGTCTAGTTTTAGTCTTCACCATGTAGAGAGCCAGGTTTTCCAGCACCATTTATTAAAGAGACTATCTTTCTTCCAGTGAATATGCTTGGGCCCTTTGTCAAAGATAAGGTGGTTGAGGGGGCTGGGGATTTAGCTCAGCAGCACAGCACCTGTCTGGCAAGTGCAAGGCAAGAAGTCGAATCCAAGAACGGAAAAAAAAAAAAAAAAAAAAAAACAAAAATAAGAGAAAGTGGTTGAGTGTGTTTGTAGTTGGGTATGAATCTTCTAACCTGTTCCACTGATCTTCAGGTAAGTTTTTTGCCAGTACCATGCTTATTTTACCACAGTAGCTTTGTCGTATAATTTCAAGTTGGGGGTTGTATTGTTTATTGTTTACTGCCTTGCCCTTGTTGCCCAGGATTGCCTTTGCTATTGTAGGTCTCTTCTGTTTTTGAATGAATTTTAGGAATGTTTTCTCTCATTCTGTGAGGTATGCTAATGGCATTTTGATTGAGACTGCATTAAATCTGTATAACTATTCAGGGAATATGGCCATTTTCACTATGTTCATACAAGGGATAACTTTCCATTTTCTGAAATCCTCTTCAATCTCTCTTTTCAGAGTACTATAATTTTCAATGTGTAGATCTTTTAGTTCTTTTGACAGACTGACTCCTAAGTATTTCATTTTGGGATGCTATTGTGAAGGGTGTGGTTTGCCTAATTTCTCTCTCAGAAATTTGTTGTTTGTATATGGAAT